CTTGCCTTGGATCACTTGAAGCATGACACTGTGGAGTCATTCGAAAATCCAATATAGATTTCAAATGAAGTCTTTACACACTGGTGAGAAAGTGGAGATGTCAATCCCAGGAAGTAGTTGACATGAATCAAATATGTGTCTTTCATGGGAAGCTGCATAACGAATGATAGGGATTGGAATAGAAAGAGATGCTCATGGGTTGAGATTAAATTGGTTGCAAGGAGCTTTGAGCATAAAAAGACCAGTTGACTAAATAGCTCATCTCTTTGCTCAACATTCAGTGAAAATCATGAAATTTTGAAATGAAATGTTTGGTAAAATGTAATATTTATTACAGAAATCCCAGTAACCCGGAAAGATAAATGCCTAGTTCATGTTTTTTTTTAAACTCCATTAAATCAGGAGATAATGTCATCAGATCAATAGATGCACACGCTGGTCCCCATACAACGGCATAAGATGTTTTGCATCCAACAGAAGTGTACACCATATTCCAAATGTGATTGTGATTGCACTCAATGTTATGCATAAGTATAGAGGAACTTCGCAACTTTTTTTATTCCATTCTCTTGAAATAATCAACAGCAATCCATTTGTCTTTCAAATCGCTTGCTGTACTTGCATTCTAACATTTTGTGACTCCATCTCCAGGACACCCAGATCCCCCTACATCATCAAGTTCTGCTATCTGTCTTTCTGTATCCAATAATTGGCTGCTTTTCTATTCTTCCTGCTAAGGTGACAAGTTTATAATATTTTCATGTTACCTTTTACAATTCATTTAATCTATCAATATCTCCCATCGTGTTTTCCTTCTGTCCTCTTCACAGCTGACACTCTTTTAATTTTTGTTTTATTCATTCATGGGTTGTTGGCATCAATAGCTGGAACATCATTTATTATCCATCCCTTGAGAAGATGGCAAATTTAGCAACTACAAATTTGGTCTCTTCATCCATCTCATTGATCAACATTGCAAATATTTGAAGTTCCAGCAGTGATCCCTGTGCCATTCCATCACTGAGAGCTTGCCAAATTAAAAATGACCCCTTTATGCTTACTCTGTATTTCCTGATTGCTAACCAATCCTCTCCATGCTATTGTTGTCCCTATCGCCATGAGCTCTCTGCAGTCTTTGAAACATCTTATCAAATGCCTTTTGGATATCCATTTGCACTACATCTACCAGTTCCTCTTTATCCACATTGGTCATCACTTCCCCTAAGATGTCTTTATAAATTAGTCAAGCATTAGTTTTATCAAACCAAAGGCCCTTGGTGATGGTTAGTCTGATCTTGTCAGCGACTCCTATGTTGTGGGAGTGAATTAAATTTTAAAATTGACAGCAGTATTATGTCTGTCAGTCAATCTACACAGATCTATAACCCACATGCTGCTTGTACAAGATTTTGTGCATGATCGAGTCTAACTGTGCTGCTCGAAAATAAAATTGATTCACTATCGTAGCATCATTTATTGAATTCTATGGAATGCTAACAGTGCAGAAGGAGGCCACTCTATCCATCATTCACACTGGCTCTCTTGGTACCAACTCACCTTGTCTGCCCCCCTGCCTTCACAGTGTAGCCTTTCAAATTCCTCATTTTTAAATAATTATCCAATTCTTGTTTAAAAGTCACAAGCTCTACTTCCCCGTCCCATCAGCCAGTGTGTTCCACATCTCGACTGCTTGCTACATGAAGATATTTTTCTTCATGTGAGGCCAAGCTAACAAATACTCCTATGCCTGGGGATGGAGAGAGGAGCCCAGGGATCTAACTTTATGGTTGGAGGATAGTCTTAAGGCACAGCTTAACATTGTATGTTTTACCAACCAGGGTCACTCTGCAGTATTCCAGCATCATCAAGGTTATGCAGTGAAAAGTGCAAAGTCAGCTGCCTTTGACCCATGAGAGTTTCTCGAGGGCAAATCCTTAAATTGATGTCAATCCCACTCTTTTTTTTTTCCCAATGAACTCACAGATGTCAAGATATTATTTGAATCAATAAAATTACTTATTTTCATTTGGAACCAGTCTTGCGCAAATACAGGTAGTTCTCCTATAACGCAGTAGCTGAATTTTTGCGTGACATTGTGCTGCAGGGAAATTGCTATACCTGAACAGCAGAAATGTCACATTAAACAAACAGTGTCCACTATTCATCAATCGTGTTACAGCCAATTCATGCTAATGAAACATGCGTTTATAGCACAACTACCTGTAGGAAATAAGTCTTGATCAATATCTTCCCATTTAATATCCTATAACTTCACATGATCTTTTTTTGTCACCTTGTATTGGTGAATTTGGGTTTCTGTTTCAGTTCTCTGGGACTGTTCCCTTGTGGCTCTGGTACAAAATGAAGTATTTCCATCTGGCAGGACTGAATGCAAAGGTGTTATCTTCTCAACCCTATAGATAGAACCTGTATGACTCCTTGAGAATTAAACTTGCCTCTCTGTGATTCAGAAGCAAGTGTTACTTATTCATTTTATTTTATTATTTTGCTTGCATTTATTTCTTCAGGTAGCTCTAAAACATTACAAAAAATGAACATTTTTGGACCACAGCTCTTCCAATTCGAGCCAACTCTGTTATAACAGATTAGAACTTTGGTATTCTGGGGATTTCTATTCTGCAGAGTTCTGTCCTAACATATTGTGCTCTGTTGGTGGGCAAAACAGATTGGTGTGCTTTAATTTTAAGTTGGTTAAGTTTCAGTTGTACCTGCTGACCCTAGCAGTAGTTTAATTTCTTTTTGTTTAGGTCTGAAGAAGGGTCACTGGACCTGAAACATTAATTCCTTTTTCTCTTCACAGGTGCTGTCAGACCTGCTGAGTTTCTCCAGCAATTTCTGATTTTGTTTTTAATTCCTTTATTTGTTGATGGAATGTGGGCATCAGTGTCTACGCCAGCACTTGCCTCCCGTCCCTAATCCAAAGAGGGCAGTTAAGAATCAACCATACTGCTGTGGGTCTGGAATCACATGTTGGCCAGACCAGGTCAGGATGGCAGATTTCCTTCCCTAAAGAACATAGTAAACCTTTTCATGGATACGTTGTCACCCAAATTAGATTTTTGACTCCAAATTTTTTATTATTAACTTCATCTGCTACAGTGGGATTTGAACTTGTCTGCAGGACATTTAGCCCTGGGGCTCTGCTTTACTAGTCAAATGCTATTACTGTTATGTCACCACTTTTGCATAAAGTGGGATTCCATCCTTTAATATTGCCATTAGTGTTTTTTTTTTGGTTGTGTTTGAAAGGCTGGTGTGTCTTCCAGTGCTGTGTTTTGTGCTTGTACTTTACGTTGCTTATCTTGTAAAATATCTGGCAGGCTGACACTTAGGTATGCAGAGGATTTCCCATATATGTGGAAGGGAGAAAAGTTTTTAAGTGCATCTTGAATTTGATCAACATTGCATGGGCAAAGGAGATAGGGAAAGACTCTCGTTCTTGCTTTGACAGAAAATGGCACAATTCAAATCGGGCAGAGTGACTGCAGGTTATTGAGAAGCAACAAAGGCCTTCATTGTTCTGAACCATTTCATGATTTCACTTTTTATTAGCGGCTGAGTTTAAGTAGGCTTGAGTACACAAGTTGTTCTTTGTAAATGCTATCACATAGACTGTGTCTGCTCTGTGTGTATTTGAGGCAGCATGTTGGTGTACACATGCGCTGTTTTAAGTTGGCCCAATGATCGATGCGGTAATTACGCTTCAATTCTACTCAGCAACCCCCAGTCCATTATTACACGCTTGCTTTCATCAGGCACAGTTTAATTGAAAGAATCTTTGATTTAAAAGTTTTACAAAGGTACAAATCTATGGATTCTGACTGCTTTATTTCTTTCTGTTTTTATTAATCTGCACGTTTTCTTAATATATCTTCGGTTTAATTAACGTTTGCATAAATTCTGCCATATAATTTGCCATCCAAGTAGACACTTTTTTCAAAGAGAGAAAATGTTGCCAAATCGGTAGTGAAGTTTGAGATTAGCAAGCAAGTCTGCTACAGAAGTCTCTAGTGACCATGTCATTGAATACATTGAAGAAAGAGACCAGATTTTAGATTTTAGTCACTAACAGTCCCCATTAACAACTATTCACCCTCCCAGTCTGATCATTAGCAACTCCTTTGTCTGTCCAACTGTCTTTCTCTCTCTTTGGGCTCTATCTTATGGTTTACTCCCTACCCCACCCACCTCCCTATTTTCTGCATATAAACTGACATTTTCCCAGCCACCATCAGTTCTGAGGAGGGGTCACCGGATCCGAAACGTTAACTCTGTTTTCTCCTCCACAGATGCTGCCAGACCTGCTGAGCTTTTCCAGCAACTTTGTTTTTGTTCCTGATTAACAGCATCTGCAGTTCTTGTGGTTTTTTTTGGTTTCAAAGGCATCCAGGGTTATGGGGAGAAAGTGGGAATATGGCATTGGCATGCTGGGTCAACCATAATTGTACTAAATCCAGGCACAAGCTCAAAGGGCTGAATGGACTACACTTTGTTCCTAGTTGCTGTGTTTCTGGTGTTTGAATACTCTGGGAGAGCAAATGGTCGATCACATTTTGCACAAGTGAAACATGCAAAGTAGAATATGGGACAAGGGGGAAAATTAGTGATAACTGGGGGTGAACACAAGACCAGAGTTGGAGGAGCACAAAGATCTGGCAGTGTTGTAAGGCTGGAGGAGGCTACAGTGATTAGAGAGGGAATGCGTCCCTGCAGGGAAGAGATCACTTGCCAAACCTCCAAGACACAATTCAAAGAGTACACCTGTGAGTAAGAAGCCAGTGCAGGTGGGACTGATTTGTTTGGACTTGTAGGATGTTTTTAGTAGGATCTTATACCACCCATAATCCATAGGTTATCACTTACACACCTTGGTCATCAATTCCAAAAAAACTTTTATCTCTGTGTGATTCCAGGATCAAATGATCTGTATTAGTCAGTGTTTCTCTGCCACTATCATGTGCCTTCTGACTCTCTTTCAGGAATTACAGAAGCTTGGTCTAGGTGAAGAAGTGGATCTGTATGTGTACGAGATTCCAGTGGAATATCAGAAGGTCTTGGATTTGATTCCTTCTCTGTGGAAGCGTCATAACCCTCAGGTTAGACCCTGTCTTTCTTCTGGGCAATATAATCGCAAGAAACTATTTTATGTACTGCAAACAGTAACCACACAAGCCCTGTCCAAAATGTGGAGATTGAATAATTTTCCTGTTGATTTAGGTTTGGAACTTGCACTGTTACAAATGCCTGGATGATTATTGGTGCATAATTTGTTTTCTGCAAGTATTCTCCGATGGACTGCTGATGTTTGTTTCAAAACAACTGGAGCATAAAAATAGGGAGGTCTTGCTGTAACTACACAAGGCATTAGTCAGACCACTGTGGGACACTGAACAGTTTTGGGACGCCTTACCTGGGAAAACATATCCTGTCATTGGAAGCAGAGAGGGTTCACTGGGTTGATTCTTGGGATGGAGGGATTCTTTTACAAAGAGAGGTTGAGTAGGTGGGACCTGTACTTGTTTGAATTTAGAAGAATGAGAGGCAACCTTATTGAAACACCGCAGATTCTGAGTGACAGTAGATGTGGAAAGGTTGATTTCCCCTTTTGAGAGAGGATCGGGAGGCATAATCTCCGAATTAGGGGTCGTGCATTTAAGACAGGTTGTTTTTCTCTCTCCAGACAATAGTGCATCTGTGGAATTCTTTACTACAGAGGACTGTTGAGGGCGAGTGATTAAGTATATTTCATGCTGAGATACAGATTTTTGACGAATAAGGGAATTGAGAATTACGGGAAAAAGAAAGGCAAGTGGAGTTGAGGATTATCAGATCAGCTGTGATCTCATCGATTGGCAGAATAAGCTGAGGAGGCTGAGTGCCTTAAGTGTGTTCCTGCAGCTTGTGGTCTCCACTCAGGCTCACTAAAGAAAAAAAAGACGTTGCCATTCTGTTAGCTGAATTTTGAGTCCCGCTGTAGTCCTACACAATTAAAGCTATACTAGATGGCAAACTGTATTAATACTTATTGTTTTGTTCTTACTAGCTGTGTCAAATTTGGTTTTGAAGTTTTATTTAGGATCTTGTATTCTACTATTCTCATCAGTCCAGCGAGTCACACTGTTAGTACAGACAAATGTCTGCATCTGATTGGCCCTTGGTCTCGTGTTTGAAAATTTAGTCTCAGCTTGAACATTGAAAAGTTGAATTACTGTAAAAGGTAAATAAACTTTTCAACAGTTGGTTATCCTGTCATACTGATCTAATTGGTCTATAATTCTTGATGCCTAGGCTTGCGGCTGAAGACTAGGGGACATAGTTTTAAGGTGAGAGGAGACTGACTTTAAAAAAGACATGAAGGGCAACTTTTTTTACATAGTCATTCATGCGTGGAATTAACTTCCAGAGAAGGTGATGAATGTAGATACAGTTAGAATGTTTAAAAGATAATTTACATATGCACACAATTAGGCAATGTTTGGATGGATATGGGCTAAGTGAAGGCAGATGGACTTGTTTAGTTTGGGATTGTGGTTGGCATGGACTGGTTGGATCGAAAGGTCTGTTTCTGTGCTGTATGACTCTCTGCTTAGATATCGCACATCATTAATTGGGACCAATTTTCTACCATGATCTTCATTTTGCAGCTTTATCCAGGTCTGTATTGATGTTTAAAGAACTGGTCTGAAGGGGTTATTGTTCATTTTCCAATTATCCCACCCATTCTACTGATGGTGCACATGTGTGGGTGGTGATGAGGAGGCCTCCTCCAGTTTTTGGAGGGAGTAGGTGGATCCATCACTCCCTAAGATCCCAGTAGTTATGTCTAACCAAACGTAGTACTTGTGGCTATCATACAATAAGCCTGCTCATCTCTGAACAGTGCCTTCTCTTGTAGATACTGTATAGCGGGCTATTCTCTAACACTAATGACTAGACAGGCCTTAGACCAAACGAAGGAACTTTGGTGGTAAAAAACTGAAGCAACCCTTACCTGGTATCACACATGGTAAGTACTAAAAAGTACCAGGAGTGGTTATCTTGTAAAAGACCTCATGTACTGGTTCACAGTATAAATCCCCAGAGCTGACCCCCTGGGATTTTTGATAGTCTGGGTTTCCATTGCCTCTCTTATATAAACCTTCTCCTTGCTGCTGTCCTTTTACATCAGCACCAACATCAGACCCTAGCTTCCCATCCCAAGGATAAGTAAGGATATCTGATGGGCTTGTGCAGCGTAGCTCCACTTTCAGACTGTCATCACAAGCAAAAGCAGCTGTGAGATGAGTGTAAAGGTTGGAGGAATGCCAGAGATAATTTTAAAAACCCCTCAAATTCTGTCAAACCCTAGCAAATGTGTTGTGGGCAAGTACAGTAGAGGTTATGAGAAAAGCTTCCTCTGTAGCGTCCTGGCGAGGAGGCAAGAGGCTAATATTGAAAAGGCTGTCAGGGGAGAGATGTGGGAGGGTGTCTGGGAAATTGGGACGGGGTTGGTGAGGAGGTGTGGCGAAGGTTTCAGCTGATGTCATGGCCAGGGTCAGCTGATCTTGTCCTGTATCAATTTCTGACACATGCTTGTGAATTTTCTTTTCTTAGTTGTTCATCCATGTTGGAGTTTCAGGAATGGCCACCACTGTGACACTGGAGAAATGTGGGCACAACCAGGGATACAAGGGACTGGATAACCGATGTTACTGCCCAGACAATCACTGCTGTGTCCAGGGAGGACCAGACTGCCTCGAGTCTGTCATAGACATGGATGTCGTGTGTAACAAAATCACTGACCCACAACTGGACGTGGTCATTTCTGTCTCACAGGATGCCGGAAGGTAAGGGGATGGGGTCACTGCTTGGCAGTGGGATTCTCTGAGGGTCTTCCCATCATATGTCCTGCTGGCTTTCCCTGACCACTGCAGCTCACATTTGCAAAGATCCGCTGCTTGTGGCAGCACAAAGTGAGAACTGAGAGCTTGGTGAGCTATGGAATCAATGTTTTTTCTCCAAAGCCAATTATTCTTATGGATAGAGATGGAAGCCAAGCATTCACCAAGAAATGAAGTGAATTAGAAACCAGGTACAGGAAGGAAGAGTGAGGAAAGTTTTTTAAAAAAAAACAAAAAAAAACTTGTGCTCCTCTGATGCTGCTTGGCCTGCTGTGTTCATCCAGCTCTACACCTTGTTATCTCAGATTCTCCAGCATCTGCAGTTCCTACTATCTCTCTACATATAATGTTCCTTCAGTGTCACTGGGTCAAAGTCCTGGAATTCCCTCCCGACAGGCAGTGAGGGTCTTCCTACAGCACATGGACTGCAATGGTTCAAAAAGGCAGTTTACCACCACCTTCTCAAGGGGCAATTAGGGATGGATGATAAATGCCAGTAACGCCTATGTCCCATGAGTGAATAAATAAAAAACAAGAGATGGGGGAAGGGTTTGTGTCTCAATGGATTGCTTCAAAACTTGCAGGAGATGATTTGAAGGCTTTTGAAAGAGTTGGGTTTTGCGAAGGTTTTTGAACATGGGAAGGGCTAATGTGTGGGGAATGCTTAATGTTCAGAGTGGAAGGAGGCCTATTTTAACTAATTAAACACCCGTTCGTTAAAGAATTAAAAACAAGCCTACAATGCCTGAAAGTTGTCAGTGATGATGAAGCAGATTGTCAGAAGTTAAATGGTTAGATGGTGCAGTGAGAGATTCTGGGTTACACGTTGGGGCAGTTTGAGAATATAAGAAATTGGCCAAGCACTTCAGATCAGGAGACTTTACTGGAGCTGAAGAGTACAGTTAAATTATTTTTTAAATACACTTACCATCCCAATTAATTAAATAGAAGAGATGACTTAGCAGTGGTGCTGTGTTGTGGCTGCAGTATGTAGGAGGTAGTGGACACTGGTGCAATCAATGGGAAGTCTTGTTACAACTATACAAGATGTCAGAGTCAGAAAGGCAAAGATCAACAGCACAGAGAAAGGCTCTTCAACGCATCATGACCATGCCAGTCAAAAATAGGACAAGGGCATTTTGCCCCTCAAGCCTGCCCTGCCGTTCTATAAGGTCATGGTTGATCTGGCCCAGCCCTCAACTACTGTTTCATGTCAGCTGCGCATTGTCCTCAACTCCTTTATTTCAGAAGTTTATCTACTTCCTCTTCAAATACTTTCTATGCTGTAGCCTTCACAACTCTGAAGTAGAGAATTTGGGAGGAGAAATTGCTTTGTGTCTCAATTCTAAATGAATGTCCTCCATTTCTGTAACTGTGCCCCACTTGTGGAAATGTCATCTCAACAACCCTGTCAAGTGACCTCCAAATCTTTTATATTTGAATAAGATCACCCATCAGTCTTCCAAACACTAATGAATAGAGGCCTAACCTGTTTAGCCATTCTTGATAAGTTTAACCCTTTCACCCCAGTAGCCAATCTAGTAAGTCTCTATTGAACAGCCTCCAATGCCAGTACATACTTACTTAAATACAGGGACCAAAACTGTATACAGTATTCCAGGTGTAGACTCCTCCTGGGGTTAGAATAGTTAGGAGGTTATTTTTGACTGGCATGGTCATGATGCGTTGAAGAGCCTTTCTCTGTGCTGTTGATCTTTGCCTTTCTGACTCTCTGACATCTTGTATAGTTGTAACAAGACTTCCCATTGATTGCACCAGTGTCCACTACCTCCTACATACTGCAGCCACAACACAGCACCACTGCTAAGTCATCTCTTCTATTTAATTAATTGGGATGGTAAGTGTATTTAAAAAATAGTTTAACTGTACTCTTCAGCTACAGTAAAGTCTCTTGATCTGAAGTGCTTAGCCAATGAAAGAGATGAAAAAATACCCACCATTCCCTACCTATTTTCCTGTGGCGTTGCACTTTGGTTCTGAAAGGTGTAAAACGGCTTGAAGGGGTTCTCTGCCATTGAATTTTTTCCCCACTATTCTCACTCGGGTCAGCTCTCCCAGTTTGCTTCACAGTGAAGCTGATTTGCTGTATGTACCTCCAATGATAGAGGAGGTCATTAGAATGTGGTGGACCCTGTGTTTAATGTGTGAAATGAAATTGAGATCTATTCCGATCTATTCCAATGGAATTGTAGGACCAAGGGCATTCTGTCGTCCTAGGTCCCCAACCAATGTGAAACAGCAATTGAAGCCAATAAGATGTTGAACTGCCATAGGCAAAGCAGTAAAATGCAATTTGGAGGATGTCATGACTAAATGCTCTGAGGCTGTACTTTGCGCAGCATGTTAAGTTCTGGTCTGTGCGACTGAGGTAGTTGAAACAATAGGAGGAGACACTGTGATGACATTTCCCTTGTCTGAAAGGTTGGAGTAATGACCTGGAGAGAAACCTGGGCCCTTCACCCTGTGAATGGACAGAGCAAGCTCTGATTCAAGGTTAATGCGGAAAATCGCTTCAGATTCTACTACAAGTAGAGCTGAGGTACACGAGCTTAAACTAGTTAAAAGCTGATTTAGGATTTTGTTTACGCAATACAATTAAATATTCAACTTGTGTATGTGCCTTCCTTAGAGCATAGAGAAGGTGAAAACCATGCAGTCGTTAATGATTGGCTCTGTGCTGGAGTGGGTAGATGTAATTGAATCTTATATAATCTGCCTTGATTAGTTGCAGTCATTTTAAACAAACAAAAAAACAATACAACACAGGAACAGGCCCTTTGGCCCTCAAGCCTCAGCCAACACATTTTTTTCCTCTTCCATACTACAACTGTCTTCACTTACAGGATCAGTATCCCTCTATTCCCTTCCCATTCGTGTATTTGTCCAGGTGCTTCTTGAATGCTGTTATTGTGTCTGCTTCCACCCCCACCATCACCACCTCCTCTGGCAGCACATTTCAGGCACTCACCACCCTTTGTGTGAAATACTTGTCTCACGCATCTCTTTTAAACTTACCCACGTATACCTCGCGGACCTTGAACTTGTTTCACAGAGTTATTGATCATCCACCCTGAGGAAAAAGCCTCATAATTTCCGCTCTATCCATGCCATTCACAATCTTTTAAACTTCTATCGCGTCGCCCCTCAACCTCCTGCATTTCAGTGAAAACAAACCCAGTCTATCCAGAGATTTTCTGAAGGGTCCCGACCTGAAAAGTCGGCTTTCCTGCTCCTCTGCTGCTGCCTGGCCTGCTGTGTTCCTCCAGCTCCACACTCTGTTATCCCAGTCTATCCAACCTTTATTCATTGTTAAAATCCTGCATACCAGGCAACGTCCTAGTAAACGTTTTCTGTACCCTCTCCAAAGCATCCACATCCCTTTGATAATGTCGTGACCAGAAGTATGAATATTCCAAGTGTGGTCTAACTGAAGTCTTCTAAAGCTGCAGCATAACTATGCCTATCCTTATACTTAATGCCCCTTCCAGTGAAGGCAAGGATGCCATAGGCCTTTATTTGTTTTGTTACTACCTTTATCTACCTGCCATGCTACCTTCAGTGATCTGTGGACCTGCACTCCCAGATCCCTTTGCATATCAATACCCAGAAGGATTCTGCCATTCACTGTATACTTTCCACCTGTCCTCGACCTTCCAAAATACATCGCCTCACAATGTGAGGATTGAGGTGAGGATTCAAAATTGTTTCCGTTTAATTGTGTCTGCAGCTTCACAACAATATTATTAAGAGATACTGACCCCTTGAACAAAGCCATAAACAAATGAAGTAAAACAAAGAACTGCAGTTACTAGAAATCTGAAACAAAAACAGAAATTCTGGTGAAAGTCAGCAGGTCTGGCAGTATCTCTGAAGAGAGAAACAGTTAATGTTTTGAGTCCAGTGACTGTTGTATCTTTTACTGATGATGACTCAGTGGACCTGAAATGTTAACTGATTTCTTTTCACAGATGCTGCTCGACCTGCTGAGCTTCTCTACCAATTTCTGTTTTTGTTTCAAGAAACAGCTGAATTTGATTTTAACGACTAACTCCCCTAGGGGGAGTCTTGCTTAAGGGTGTTCAAAATCATGATGGGTTTAATAGTATTAGCAAGGAAATAAATAAGCTGTTTCTTAGTAATCAGAAGGCTCACATGTAAGATAACTGGCGTAAAGGCCAGAGGAGTGGGGATGAGGAGTTTTATTGACACAGCAAGTTGTGATCTGGTGTGCGATGTCAAAAGCGCTGGTAGCAGATTAAGTAATTCTTTTATTAAAAAGGGAACCCGATAAATACTTGAAAAGAAAAGTCAAAAGGATATGGGGAAATTTCTGGAGAACAATAATTAGACGCCTTGACACAAGAACCAGTGTAAGCACACGGGCTGAATGCACTGATTCTAATTTTTTTTGTCTCCCTCTTTCTTTCCATCCAGATACCTCTGTGATTTTACCTATTATACCTCCCTGCACCTGAGCCATGGAAAGTCAGCTTTCATTCACGTGCCTCCTCTAGGGAAACCGTACACAGCTGAGCAGCTGGGCCGGGCTCTCCAAACCATTATCGGAGTGATGCTGGGTGTGCTGGAGCATCCCACTGCTAAGATAAACTGCCAGATGGGGCACTGAGCTCTCAGGAGTGGGTATTAGGGCAAGCAGATCTGAAATCCAATGGTTTTGCTCTTTCTAAACTGTTATGGGGTGCAACCCTGATTATAGCTGCCGTTGTAAAATTCACACATGGGAGGGGGCAATTGAGTGGGCCTGGAACCTCGATAACTGAAGTATATTCTCTTTGGGGGTGGAGAGTACTCGTGCAGCATATTTAAAGTTCAGGTCCCGAAGATGCTGAGTCGGTACGAAGCCATGGGCTGGTGTACTGAGTGCATATGCACACCGTGATGCATTTAATTCTGCATTAATTTTTTTATACTGTGTTTTAAAATGAGCCTTTTCTTATTAAGCATTTTTAACCCGAGCCTGTGGCAGTGGCTATGTTTTTGATATTGTAAGGTTTGTCGTTAAGTCTGTCACAGTTTTACCCCTCTGTTCTCCTACCTTTATCTCATTTGCTTTGACCTTGATGTGTATCTCTGCCACTTGCAAGCGCAGCCTTTATTTTACATGTGCTTTCTCTCTCTTTCTTTAGAACTGTCAGACTTCTGCTCTCCTCCCTCTGTTTAAGTCTCACGGCTTTTCATTTTCTCTTTTGGGCTGTCACCTTCTCTTCCACTGGCTGTCTTGCTATCCTTCTGTGTTTCCCTCTCGCATGCTGTCAGCTTTCTCTTGCATTCTCTTTTAATCTTCCTGAAGCAGAACAATTTATGTTCAAGTCTGTGTGAAGAGAAAAGACAGATGGTCACAGCTCGATTTTGAACATTCTCCTGAACTTCACCCCAAAGGCTAAAAAAAAAACCACAGCCCCTGAGGCTGAATGCACTTAGGCACTTAGATGTTATCACTACTCGAAGAGAACACATGCTCACAGCATATGTATGCAATGTTTGCTTTGTACTGAAGTCAGTTTTGACTAGATTTTGTATTTCTTTAAGGTTTGCGCTAAACTAACCTTAGCTAAGATGGTTTAATTAGGTTAAGATAATACAAGAAATGTTAGTTAATAAGTTAATGTTACTGTTTTTATGACCTTAGTTATTTTGATGACAGTCCAAGGTTCATATCTCTCTTTGTGAGCCTGTTGACACTGGATTATCGTTGGACTTCGGTATGGTTCCACTGCCTTTTTGTTTCCTATGGGATTTTGGCACAGGCCTGTTTCTCAGATAAATCCAAGGAAACTTGGCAACATGCTGTCTGTGACGTGATTGAGAATGGGATCTCCCTGTTCTTTAGGAGCTGCAACATGCTGCGGTCTGTGATCTGGTGAACAGCTCCTTCTGATTTCTGCAGAGCGATTGCACTCCCACTGTGTTCTTCAGTACTGACCTTTAGAGTTTGGCGATGTTGCGAGGCAGAAACCAGGCAGGCAGTTCCATCCTTGGATTTGACTCTGCCTTTCGTGGAAATTATTCCCATCCAGAAAAGGAAGGAAAGAACTGCCAGGAGCATGCCTTTCCACTAATTTCTCTTCACTGATCCTCCTGCAGCTGCGTGCTAGAAGAGGCACATGGTTTCATTACACCTGTCCTCACCACATCTGTAGCCTTTGGAAATTGGATTTTGATGGAGGCTGCAGGCTCTCTTGTGCCTTGGTTAGTATGTGCCATGGCTTGGGAATAGTTGTTCAACTTGCATGGCATGGCTCCCCACTGGAGGTGTTTGTGCTGCATCTTTAACTGGCTTGTGGCATGAGGACATTTTTGCTTGTAATACAAGAAAACAGTGTTGTTAGTTTTCTTATGGAGGAAGTAGCATTGTGGGGTAAGTCATGAGAAGGAGCAACATGGGGATCAATTGGATAGATCTTTCAAACAGCTGACACAGGCATAATGGGCCAATGGGCCTCTACCATATCCTTCAACAATTCTATAATGCCATCAGAGAAAGCCACAAGACTGGGCAGGAGGAAGTCAGATGAGCTTCCAGAGCAGGCATTGAAACACTTGGTGGAAAGTTGGCTTTAAATGTTTACGGAAGGAAGGTATCTCAATGGATTAGTCTCCCAAACCCTGATGGACAAGTTGACAAATTAATTCCCTGAAGATAAATTTTCCTGGAAACTGCCTGGATGAGTCTCGATAATTTGAGTTGGAGTAATGAACTATTGCTGTTGAATGCACAATGCTGGTCAGCAAACCTAGTGTGCAGAGAAGCTGCCTCACAAGCCCTGAGGATTTAAAAGCAAGATTGTGTGTAGATTTAATTGTAGCTGGGAGATTTATGAAGGAAGTTCAACATACTCTATTTTTAGCATTAGGCAATGTAAATACTGTACTGTAGGAATATATATATCAAAGGGGCAGCATTTAATTTTAGAAGTGCACAACTTCGACTTTCATTGCACCTTTTAATACAACAAGATGTCCCAGTGTGCTTCATGACAACGATACAAGCAAAATGTAACTTTGAGCTGCACAAAATTGGTAGCACAGAGGAAATCCTTTGTTTTAAGGGATGTCTTAAAGGAGAGGGAGTTGGAGAGGTTTTGGGAGGGAGTACCAGAGTTTAGAGGTCAGGCAACTGTAGGAATGTTTGTCAAATGGGACAAAACAAATTGGGGGGCACATGAGATTGGAAGAGCACAGCCATCCTGGTGTTGGCGGAGATTGTTGTCTGAGGAGTTTAAGGAGAGGGTTTTTTTTAAAAAAATCCTTCAGGGCTGCTGGGGAGATGGGATTTCCCTGCTGTGCACAGAAACTCGACCTTAGAAGCAGTAGGTGATTCTCGCTGACTTTGTCAGATTTAAGATACAAGAGCTTTTTAAAACTGAGCTGTATCTGATTTCTAGATTGATTTAATTAGTGTGATTGTAACGATATGTACCTTCTATTATCCACTCCCAGTCTCCATGATCACCCATGTGCTGGATGTGTTCATGTTCATATGCAAATTTCTTAAATCTCTCCTGTTAACTTTGAAAGAGAAGAAAGAAATGAAGGTACAAGGCAATATATACAGGGTGGTGATGGCTGATCGTTTTGTACATGAGAAGAAAAATGTTGATTCTGTAATTTGCTGATTTTAGACCTTAAGGTGCTGCACTATTTGTGGATTTGTCAATTTAATAACTGGTATTTTCGTTGGAATGTTTGGCATGTGGGGGAAGCATGTCACAGTGATAGAAGTGCTGCCCTCAGTGTGTAGCTTTCTGCATCCTGTGACCTGCCCTATATTTTTAAAGATTTTTAAGGAATTATTTGAGAAATAAAGACTAAGGTGCATCTCATTCACCATGATGAGAGTTGCATGATAAACAATAATGGCATCATGTACGAATCATAGCCTTCAATTTCTGTCATTTATCTCTATCCAGAATGCACTGTCTGAAATAATAATGGAAGCAGATTCAATGGTAACTTGCAACAGCATTTAATATGTCCTTATAAACAAAAAAGAAACTTCAGTGCCACAGGAAGAGTGAAACTAAATTGGTAACTCTTACATGAGTTAGCAAAGGAGCAATGGACCCAATGGGTAACTGTCCTTTTTGATTTTGATTTTTCTGCCCAGTCCAAAACAGACCCAGGCACAGGATGAGAGAATCCCCTCGTGGTCCAAAAGCATCTATTCTTCCCAAGCGTGTCTCTTTTCCTGAATAAAATTCAACTTATGCTTAAAATGGTCAACACAAGCCACTTGCATCATCACGCCAGAGATTTATTCCATAGATTGGTCTGTGTGTGTGACTCGCTCACTCACTGAAATGTTGTTTTTTGTGGTACCATCAGACTCATTCCAATCTGCAGATCTACAGGAGAGATGCTGTGGGATGGAGCTGCTGCCTCAAGCTTGTCATTTGGACATCATCAATAACATTTCCACACTAGGAATAATCAAACTTCCATTTACCTATCACTTCAGTCTAACTCATAGCATTAATAAGGTATTTTTTGAGGGGAAGACTCAGTATTTGAATGATGTTCAGCCAGTTTGAGCACAACAAGATCCTGCAAAGAACATTTTGGATGTTGTTTAGGCAATGCGTATTGGGTAGGACACTAGGAAATTCTCCACTGCTGTCCCTCTAATTGTATCGAGGAGTCCTTCCATCTTCATCTAGGAGGGCACTGCAGGGAAGTGTCAGCTGTGATCACGTCCTCGACGCTCTGGATTGGGGCTTGAACTTTAGACTGACTTGGCAAAAGCCAGTGCTGAGTGGGTTGATTGTGCATCAGCTGGACTCGGTCGTGATGGTCAGGAAGTTTGAGTTTCATGTGCTCTTGAACACTGCACCAAGGTTGACATTATCGTACAGTACTGAAGGAGCACGAGGTTGAGATGTGGAGTCATGACCCTGTCTGACTCATCCAGTGACTTGAGATGCTGAAGATCCTGTGGCCCTTTTCTGAAACATTGTGTGCTCTCAGCATCCTGACCAACATTGCTCAATCATTGCTACCAGCCAGTCGTAAGTTTGTTTATTCATTGGTTGTTATGGAGCCTTACCTTGAATGAAATAGTGGCTTATTTACCTACAAAACAGCTGGTTATATCTTGAGAGATAGTAGGAACTGCAGATGCTGGAGAATCTGAGATAACAAGGTGTAGAGCTGGATGAACACAGCAGGCCAAGCAGCATCAGAGGAGCAGGAAGGCTGACGTTTCGGGCCTAGACCCTTCTTCCATAGTGTAGTGGTTATCACGTTCACCTCAGACGCGAAAGTCCCCAGTTTGATCCTGGGTGGGAACATTATAGGGTGTGGTTATATCTTGAAGCAGTTTTATCTACCTGAGGTGCTTTTGAGAATCTAGTGTTGTATAAATTCAAGTTGCGTTTCTTACCAGGTTTAGGAAGCATTCTGTGTCGGTTTACTGTTGTTAGGTGTTGGGTTAGGAGTTTGTAAACTAAGTGCAGTTTTCTAGCTGGTGGCACCAAGCAGCAGTAAGCCATCCTTTTGGACCAGCTTCAAATCTTCTGTCCCTGAGGTGAAAAGAACCCCATCTCAGAGCTATCCAGTCCCTTCTCACCTGAAACATTTCAACCAATCAGTAAACAGCATTTTGTGCCTACATTTAAACTGTTGCTCAAAAGTTGATGTGTCACTTGCTGAGTTGCAGAGAGTCATTTTTTTTTGTATTTCAATATAGTGAAACTTGATTGGATGTTCAAGACTCTATATGCAGGATACTGCCGAGATTTAATTGAGTGGATGACTCCAAGGTTGGTTTTTACAGGAAGACCGAGGTGGTGGAGTGTTATATAGGGATGAGGCGTTATGGAAATGCAGGAGAGACAATAAGGAATTGTTCCAACACAGTATGGAGGCATGAGAGTGCACTGGACAGAAGAGATATTTAGAATGACAGAGGAGATGAAAATCCATGGGTATGCTGTCTATAGTGACTGAGTCTCACAGTGGTGGGTGAATGAGTTTGTAGGGTCATTTGGTACTGAGCCAGAGGTCAGCTGTCAGGTGAGGTGTTGCTTGTGTCTGGTCCTTGATGGCGAGGTGTCTCAGCATCAGAGAGGCATTGAGCCTTGTGGGGCAAGACATGAGCATTGCCATGAGAAACAAGTGAGTCTACCTAACAGATGAGAGACAATGTTGGCTCACCTCCCGCTTGTGTTGATATTCAGCTGGAATGAAGCTTGTGTGAATGTTCAGAGGAAAAAAAAGTTACAGGTATGTTGGTGAAGGAGTGGAGCAGGTAGAGCAGACCTCACTGCAAATTTGTTTTGTCTTTTGACACAGTTTTCTTAAGCCACGAGCATCTAAGCAGGTAAAATGAGTCTTTTTAAATATTGAATCTGACCTGAAAGTGCTTGTCAATATGGGACTAAGCTTGTACCTTTTCCTGTGCTCTGAACCCTCTGCACAGGGAGCAAACAGGTGTTTCTCTCTGTAATGTCACCTCTCAACTTGAGGTCAAATCACCTGCCTTAAATAAGTAACGCGTGTACAGATTATTCAGGGTTCCATTTCCTGCTCTACTGGCAGTCAAGTCCAAGTCATGAACAGTAAGACAGTCATTCTGCTGCATATAAGGGTCAGGCCTCTTTAGGAGGCTTAACCTGGTATCTCTGATTCTCAAAGGGGAGAAACTGGTTATAATTTGACTTTAACTGGTAGTTCTAGTCTGAAAGGAGCAGAAAGTGGAAATGTCTTTCAGGAACCGGTAGAAGCAAGAAATTGATCAGACAGTGGAAGCCTGTCTATAACCCCAAGCTGTACCTTCCCTTGTTGTGTTTGGGGACAGTGTGGAGACATTTGTTCTGCCTGACCACATACTGTGCCATCCTGGGAGTGTTTAATGAGCACAGTTTAAAAGGAGCGTTACTCTGTTTCTAACATCAAAACTGGAGGTATCCAAATTTCAGCTGAACAGCCTCCAATAGACTCAGGGTAATCAGGGGAGTAAATAAAGCTGATGTTACCTAAACCAGTTTGGAGGTCAGTGGGATGTACTTTGACCAGTTTCCAGAACTGAGACACTGCAGTCCTCTGAGAATCTACATCTGCAGAATGTCAATGTTCTCTGACTCTGTGATTATAGTCAGAAATCATGTCTGTGTACATATATATTTTGGATAATGAATACTCTGCCAGTTTTAATTTGTCCACCTGTCTGGTTTTGTAATTATTATCCCTCTCTAGGCTAACATATTTCCAGACTAAGTGATTGTGATGTCAATGGTGATGGTTTCGAGCATTTTATTGGCAAACTACCAAGTGATTAACTAGTAATCCTGGGTTTGAAGATAAATCCTTTAGCCACTTCAGAGATGGGGTAGTTGGGAGAGACAGCAAAAGCACAGGATGGAGATTTGACAGGTTTTTTTTTTTTTAAAAAAGCTTTTTACAAATTGGGAGAAACTATTTCCTTCGATGGGAAATTGGTGATAAGGTCTTCAATTGAAAATTGTCATGGAGAGTAGGCCGAAGTGGGGAAATTTCATTGCAGAGGGTTTGATGTTTTCCCACCGGGAATGATTGAAGCAGAGATTGGCTTGTTGAGAGAAAAGAATAATTGAAACAGAGAGAAGGAGCGCAGATCTTCAGTAGTTTTGGACTGTTCTAGAGCCAGTGTCGATGTGTGATGGATTGAAATGTCTAGTATGTGTAGCAATGTCTAACATGCATTTGTGAACATGTCCTTTGTTTATTATAGCAGAATTGTGAATACATTCCATTAAAACATGCAAAAATTTTCCAAATTAGTTTGGCTCTCTAACGTATCAGAAGATTTATGGGTTTATGCCTTGCTCGGGGATTTGAGCTCCTGACCCAGGCGAGCGCTTGCATGCAGTATCCAAGGCTTCTAGCATTGGCAGAAGCGCCACCTTTCAGATCAGCTTCCACATTACAAATTGAAGCTGTTTTTGGGGCCTTGCTGTTCACAGTATCCCAGCCACGTCTGCGTCAAGAAATTTCCTTGGAAAAATAAGGTGCTGCTTTCCCTTCAGGACTTGTGAACAGCATGAATTATAAGCTTTTAGGGTGTTGCCATGTGTCACATTAAGAAGAATTCCCAGTGTCCAGTCAGTTCATTTCATATAACGGTACAGTTAGGATCTGAAACAGAAACAGAAATTGCTGGAAAAGCTCAGCAGGTCTGGCAGCATCTGTGGAGCG